GTCACTCTTGTTGGCCTCTTGATGATGCTGCTGTCTTTTAATGATTATTTCTCAGCCGCTAGTTCGTCACAGATTCTTCAGTCTCATCAGCCTCATCCTTCCATCAGTCCCAGTCAACGCCTCCAGCACAATTCCAGTGTCTGACTCCATATGATATTGTCCTGATGCTGTAAGGGTGATGCCCCATGATCACACAGTGCCAAGGACCTCATATTATGTATGTCATTAATCTTGTTGTAGTTGGCATCTTCGTACAGTAGATTCATCTTCTTATTACAGACACATGCATTTCCTAACATATGCTGTAAAATGTATTATCTCTTCGATTTACACACGGCATCTATTGCACGTCTGTCCGTCCTGGGAGAGGGATCCCTCCTCTGTTGCTCTCCCTGGGGTTTCTCCCATGTTCCCCTTAAACTGTGGGTTTTCTCCGGAAGTTTTTCCTTGTACGATGTGAGGGTCTAAGGACAGAGGGTGTCGTTTTTCTCATACTGATATTCTGAACAATCTGTGTTGTTGTATTTGCTGTAAAGTGTCTCTACTGTAGGCTATTTTTATTAAATGTACAGCACTTTGGCTCGACCAAACATCGTTTATAAATGTGCTATATAAATAAAACTTGATTTGATTTGATTAATGTTACATCACCCATTATAACAATTTGCTTTCCTTTTTCTCTTCTCTTAACTGAATAGCCCTGTCTTTAAGTATAATACAATGTAAAGTCCTTTTCCTGCACCATTTGAAGGCTTCAAAACAGGCCTTTTCACTGTATGTGTTTGGAGAAATGACACAATCAATGGCCCAGAATTGTACTTTATAAACTCTGAATCTTGTGGTGCTTGAAGAATTACACACTTGGTTATATATGCCTTTTTTGTAGCCCTTTTTTGCAATATTTATTAACATGTCAGTAGTTATTTAAACAAAACACTATCTGAGGATAATACAAGCAACCATAAAACACCCTTTACTAGAGCCATTGAATTCCATGAATAATTTATCCTTTCACAAATCTTTTCAACTGCTGTAAGTTAGGGCACTCTCTGTGCAGAAAAATTTAAATATTCTTCATTTGCAGTATTTAAAAATACTGAAAGACTGCATCAATTATATATGTATATATATATATACATATATAATATCAATATTTGTATTAACTAACCAAAGTCAATTTAAATAGCGGGCAAAAATGGGTTAATTGCCATGGATGTGGTGTTTGATACAGTTTACGTTCAATTTCAACTATTTTAGGCAGAAAAACGTATATTGACCAAAACTTTTTTAATAGTTTACTATAATTTAGAAAGGTTTTTGTGAGAAATAATTTCAAAAGTAAACTTATTTTTCATTTTATATTTAAATTTGAAATACAACATTATTAATTTATCAATTTTTTAAAATTATTAATCCATTTATTTTATTGTATTTCCTTGAGGCTGGGGAAGATATCATGTAGTTCAACATGCAAATGTTATAATGCAAGTAAGTATAAGTATAACATGGAAAAGGAAATAAAATACATTTCATAGGAGGATGTGGATTTATTTTCTCTCACCTTGTAATTACACAATCAAACAATCTATATTTAGCTCTGGCCTTCACTCACAAAAAAAGATTTTGTTGAATTGGACACATTTTTCAAAGCTCTATTGACTGACATGCAACGACTGGGACTGATGGAAGAATCTGAGAGGAATGAACTAGGAGCAGAGAAATAATCATATTTTAAAAGACAGCAGCTTCATAAGGGGTGTGTCAGTGTGCTGAAGGATAGACCAGCTATCCAGGCCAGACTCTAAAGACTTTCCAAGGTGTAAAATGCTGCTGCCGGAGTACTGACTGGAAGTATTGCTGATAATCAAGTCTACCATCCTCTTAAAATACTCTGTCCAACAATATCAGTCTCAGGAAGAAAGTTTTTTTTAACGTTTATTCAAAATAGCAGAGAAACATGCATTCTTGTTCTCAGGAGGGGACATTGACAGAGGAGTACTGGAAAAGTACACCGTAAGTACTTCATAGTACTTGTGGGGGTAGTTTCACTAGTAGTCCAACAGGATCAATCTCACGAAGAACTAATGGCAACAAAAAAGAATTCCCTCATCAAACTTAGCAGAAGTGGCTTGATTTTGTTCTCAGCAGGGGACTTTGACAGAGTATTCCTCAAACAATACACCGTAAAAGTACTTCAATGTATTGTAAGTAGTAGGCTAATACAAAGTCAAACAGTATCAATTTCATTAAGAACTAATGTTAAAATTATATTTTTAACATTCATCAAAGATAGCAGAAAACATGCATTATGTACTATGGAGGGGACTTTGACAGAGGATTACTCACAAAGTAGCTACACAGTAAAAGTAGCCTACTTCTATTTCTGGTAGAAGTCAAACTAGAACCGAGTCCAACAGTGTCAGTTTCCTTAAGAACTTGTGGTAAAACATATTTGTATCACTCGTCAAATATAGCAGGAATGAAGAGCAGCTGATTTGGAGTTGACCGCAGTGCAGAATCGCTGTATAGTTTAAATCTCCTAACAATGTTGTCCATTTTAGACAGAGGATTATTATATTTACAGCCCTTAATAACATCCATGTTCTGGACTCAATATGTGTCTTGGCCGTTTTCGTTGTGATCGCTAAATTCACCTTGTTTCCCTTTGTTTATAATATTATCACCGCTTTTGTTTTGAAATCACTTCCGTGAGTTTGGCCCCGCCCCTCGCTCCAATGACCATTAGACCATTTAGTAAGGTAAAAAGCAAAAAGCAAAAAGGCCTCTCAAACGCTCTTCCGTTTACGGGTTTAATAAAGAAAAACAATTGGACGGTACACGGATTGAGGAGAATGGGTGATCTGGTTGGTATTTTTTATCAAAACATGTTTTTTATTTATCTATAGACCTATAATATATGCCTAAAAGTATAATAAGAGACCTTTAAAGTAACACACTGATTTTCAAACTTTAAAACACATTTATTTCAAAACGATGGGATTTACCTCCATTGTGTCACTACCGAAATGATCATGTCAATTACCGAAACGTAACCTATGTTTCGGTACTGACTGTTTCTGTAGTGACGATTCTAGCTAAATTTGGGCATAACTAAAGAATGCTAGCAAGTCAGTGGCGAGCCGTCAGGGCCCTCTGTGAGGGCCTAAGATATTCTAAAAAATAATATTTGAAAACATTAAGGATAAAGGATCAGCTGAATGACCCGCAAGTGCTTCATCCAAAAGGACAGGAGGATGGACTTTGTGTTTAAGTGATTTGATCATCAAAGGTAGGCCTAAGTCATTTTCAATGTGGGCCGCCGTGCCGACTTAATTCATTTGCAATTGTTACTTGGCTGTAAGTAAGGGAGCTTGTCATGATAGGTGTTTATATAAATGGTGTTGTTTTGTGTGGTAGAGGGTCGCTGTCATTGATGCGTTTTGCACCCCGGGCCGCTGTTTTGATATTCCGCTGAAGTATACGCTGTGACGTAATATCTCTTCTTTTTTTTCGAGGGAAGGGAAGGGGGGGGGGGGGGGGGGGGTGTCAGAGGGCCTAGGTATAAAAGTCACGGCTCGCCACTGTAGCAAGTACATTGCTAGAATACACGTATTTGCAATTTGCCTACCAGCCTCAACTGGGGGTGGACGATGCCATTATTTACCTGCTGCAGCGTGCTCACTTTTTTGATTTCTCTAGCTAGCACATTCAACACGATCCAGCCTCGGCTACTGAGTGACAAGCTGCAGGCTATGAGGGTAAACTCGTCCACCATCATCTCCTGGATTACCAACTACCTCACAGACAGACCACAGTACGTCCGGCTGGGCAGTGTGCTGTCTGATGTGGTGGTTGGTAGCCTACAGGAGCCCCTCAGGGGACTGCTGTCTCCTTGACTTTCAATACAACTGAGTCATGCCATCTGCAGAAGTTTTCGGATGACTCTGCAGTGGTAGGGTGTATAAGGGATGGACGGGAGGAGGAGTACAGAGCGCTGGTGGGTGATTTTGTGGAGTGGACTCGAAGAAATAATCTGCTTCTGAATGTGGCCAAGACCAGAGAGATGGTCATTGATTTCAGGAGGAAGAGGACGTCTCCTCAGGCCCTACGCATCCTCTCCACCTGCAGCTGGACAGTCAACGGAGCTCCTTCTCCAACAGACTGCTGCAGCTCCGCTGTCACAAGGACAGATACAGGAAAACATTCTGCCCACTGCAATACACTGTACAACAAATCACCTCTGGCTGGAGGAAAACTCTCTGCTGCATAGCTTCTCTTGGACTTAAAATCACACTGTACATTTTACATTTATATATTCACTTTACATTTTAATATTCCATCTGTCACATACTTATGTAGGCCTATATATATAATACCTTGCTTCAACATTTCAAATTATATTTTCTACTTTCTTGTTTATTTCTTTTAATTTGTATTGTACAATGCCATGTCTTTTTATGCTGCTGCAACACAAACATTTCCCAAATTGGTATCAATAAAGTTCTATCTTATCTTGAAGAGTTTTACACACATAAAAACACAATACAGATTTTAGAACATATTTATATAAAAAGTATGAGATATAGCTACTTACCATTCAGCCATGAGGGACTAAAACTCCTTGTGTTTCGGTAGTGACATGACAACTGGGCACATGATTTTTTTTTAGTATAGTTTTTATTTATTTTTTATTAAACCCACAATAAATGTAAATAGTCCAACTTCTGTTTGAATGTAATCATAAAGATCTTCTAAATACACCATTGAATAAAATACAAACAAAACGTGTTAAGTGTTATACAGAAATTTAAATGTAGATGTCAGCGTTTGGGACAGCTACTTCCCAATAGAAAGTACCCTATAAATTATGTTTTTGAATATTAAACTTAACATTGTCTAATGTAATGCCTTACAACATATTCTTAGTAAATATCTATGTCTGAATACTTAATTGTTTTTTTAAATAGTTTTTCTTGTTCGTACTTTGTACTAATTTGGTAGAATGCCCCATATATAACTGTAAAGATACGTTTTTTAATGTAGATATGTCCCGAGAAAGGGTCGCATAATTTACTCTGTGTTCCACATGGTAAGGGCAGAGGGCTAACTCTGGTTTGCGAAACTCTCGCGGGATCCTTAAAGGCCATCAGTCGTAGGGAAAGTGAGCGTGAGTCTCGCATTTTATTTCGACAGTGCCAACCGGAAGTGTCCTGATAATAACAACTCTGGTTAGCATGTTGCTAGCAGTCCTAAATGTGACTTGTGGAAATGAAGCATTTGTCTGCAGTGCCTCGACAACGTGCACCTACATGTCGTATACAGTATAAAATATGTATATTGTCGATAATGTTACAGATACAAACGCGTCGTACTTGTATCTGTAGCTAGCGTTAATGTTAGCTCGTTACCTGAAGCTATGAAGTTAGCTTACTAGCGTAAAGCTAACCTTTATAGTCGTCTGAACACACCTGTGCAAGGTAGGAGTACTATTTATCTGACAACATGTATCACTCGGTTGTAACATGCTAAATTGTTGTGATGTACTAAATTAAGTTTGGCACATTTCGCTTGTCACTAAGTGACAACGATTAATACAACGAATTAAATAATCAATAGAAAAAGCAGTAAACATTCATATATTATTTAAAGCTGGAACCATGTGTCTTCATTGCATGCTTGCGTGTATTAAGTTACTAGGTACTAAAGCTGACGAATGAATGTAGTTCAGTAAAAAGTCAATTTCTCTTTGATTTGGATTTCCCCCTGTAGTTGTAGTTGGGTATTTCCAGATTCAAGGCGTTATTGTAATTTGTACATTAGCTACAGTGTAGATATGTCGTATGAAAAACGTAGGTCTTGGCTCCTCCAACAGCGCGACATAGAACAAATACAATAGATAGTGCAAGTAAATACAAATAAATTGAAATAGTGCAAGAAGAGTCTATATACAAGTAAATATAATATTTGGGTAACAAGTTTAAACTAAAAGTACTTCACATTGGTGCTTAAGTACAGTATGTACGTATATATACTTAGTTTCACTCCACCACAACACACAACATTTGGTCGACTGTTTCATTTTTTCCCTTTTAATATGCCACAGAAAATGTCATGTAAAAGTGCACGCTAAAGGTTTTTGTAAATGTTGTGTAGGTGTCATTTACCAGGTAACAGAATGGCTGATGACCCTCAGAGAAATTTCCGCTCCGCATATTATGAGAAAGTGGGCTTCAGAGGAGTGGAGGAGAAGAAATCTCTGGAAATACTGCTCAAGGACAATCCCCTCGGTAGGTAACAGTTCTATATCACCAATATGACTCTTTAAACATTGCTTCCAATCCACGCTGCCTGAAATTGGTGCATTCAGAAGAGTGCAGATCTCGGCCTGACAAACTCTTTCACCACTGTCCTCGAACCACTCCAAACAATGTTTTAACCATCACCAAGTGAATGTCCCAAAAATTATAATGTTGTTTCTGTTGTTCGATTCATGTATAGTTGTTTGTGGCATGATAAAAATACCAACAAAATGTCGAGGAAATAAGTTATTACATCTATTTAGATAGCCCCATATAAACAAATTCACACTTGGATTAATTTTTACATAATCCATATTATTGAAACTGCTATTTTGTATCATTTATATTTAGTTAATATAAAGCACTTGTCCTATATAGGCGTACAGTTGCAAACCCGCCCCTCTCAGTTTCAGCTGAGGCATGTGGAAGATGTTGAAGGAGTGAGTCTGCTATGTTTGGCTCCTTGCAATGAGAAATAAGCATTCAATGATGGTTTTGATATTTCATTTGTTTTCCTTAACTTGTAACTAACCAAGACAACGAGAGTTCCAAACAGCTATAAATAAGCAGAAAAAAAGATAAGCCTGATTTGTTCAGTACAGACCCGGAAGACTTAAATCCATGGGTTGGAATTTTATTAGTGAGGGCCTTGACCCAGGTAAAAATATTAGGTTAATTACAAACATGTCTGCCTATCTTTAACAACATAAGTGTATCTTGAATTTCACTCCCCTGAAAAAACACAGTTAAAGACACATATTCACATTTTAAGAAATGAAAATGCGATTTTCAGGCGCATTGCCAATATGTTGACCCAGTTTCGGCCCATCAGAGCAATATAGTATAATATGAATTGTGATGAAAACAATTATTCGCGTTCTGCCATATCTGCTGATGCCTGTGTTGCTCAGGGCTGACCACCAGACTCACACACACACACACACACACACACACACACACACACACACACACACACACACACACACACACACACAGAGTTAGCTCAAAGACCTGCATTATGTCACAACTATCTCACATTCGCATACATAACGTTTATTTTCTTCCCATCAGCTTACTTTTAAAAATATGTTCAGGCCTACACGTTCTTTAAATATACATCCATGGCCTGCACATTGACAATATTAACGCTGATTTGTCCCGGGGGAGCCAAACTCCTGGATCGACGTGCCATGACGCCAGGTCTCGTTCAGTAGTATGTACGAGAGTTGAACCAGATGACACATATTGTTATTTCCACCCACTGCCTTAACATTATTTCTCATTAGTTTGTGGTTAGGTTCTAGGGGCAGTAAGTCAGTCCTTGTCTTTTTACCATTGTTTTTTTCCCCTAACAGATCTAGAAAAGCTGAGCACCTTCAGTCAGAGGTTCCCCCTCCCCTCTATGTACAGGATTCATGTGTGGAAGGTGTTGCTAGGTAAGACATACACATATCACAGCAATGGCACGCACTACCAAATGTGCTCGCACAACCTATAATGTCAAACCTTTTTCCTGCAGGCATCTTACCCCCCCACAATGACTCTCACTCTCTGGTGGGAGGCTACAGGAAGGAGCAGTACCAGGACATCCTGGAGGCTCTGGAGGTGATGAGATACATCAACCCTTCCACTCCCTCCACCCACGTCTACCTGCGCATGTCCCAGCTGGAGACCCTGGTGCTCCCACGGTGCTCCGAGACCTCCGCCCCGGTAAGATGGATCGCACATGGAGAAACATGTCCATATATGGGACTAATAAGGCACTAAAATGAGAAGAAAGTATGAATGTCGTACTGATGCATCACAAATAGGAGGTTGTAGGATGAGACATGTAACAGAACCAAAGTTTCAAACTGAATTATGAATGTGACTTTTCTTAATTTTTTCTAAGCATGGGTCCATTAAAACATGGGTACCTTAAAAAAAAGCTTTACATTTTTATATATACAGTTGTATTTGCAATCGTCTAAACTTGGGTGTTGATGTGTGTCCTGTGGCTGCCACCTCTTAAAATGTGTGTTAATAATGGCGGGGTGTGTTGCTTTCTCCTCTCAGGATGAAGAGAATGAGGACTTCCTCTCCATTAGTCGAGCCATGGAGGAGATCGTAGACGATCCTATCGACTGTTACTGGCTCATCAAGTGTTTCATCCATCAGTTCAACACGAAGTTTGGAGACTCTGTACCCCACCTTGTGAGTGTTGCGTTTAGCTTGAAGCATAAAGTAACACTTTTTTTGTTTCAAAATGAATTGAATAGCCAAAAAAAATGAAAGAGTTTGCTTCCCTCAATGATTATATTATTCACTGCTACCAAACCGTAATGTGACAAGGGTTGTAATAAGGGCTACACAATTAATCAACATGTTATCAATATGGGCTAGTACAATTTCCAAATCTACAGACATCTCCTTGTTTGCTACAGACCCCCTTAAAATGTGATTGCTTTAATATATTTTTCAAACTGTATCATTCCCTCTGTTATCACAAATCTAATCGCGATTGCAATATCTGTCAAAAATAATCGCAATAAGTACATTTTTCAAATTACTACCCTAGTTGTAATGTAATTGTTTACAAAATGCACGTCTTTTGTATATTTTTTAAGCAAAATTAGTGGAAGTCTTTGGTATGTTCAATGTTCTTAATGTATAAGATAATTATTTTTTATATATTCCTTGTCAAGTTGTGAACATGACACTCATAAGAGGTATCCTGGTAGTTATTTACTTAAAGGTCCCATGTCATGGCCGTTTCTACTGGTCATAATTCCATTGACTAGAATAGATGTACATTGTTCAATGTTCCAAACTCACATTGGTTTCTCATACAGCCTCTCTGTATAGTGTGTATTCACTCTCTGTCCTAAACGGCTTGTTGGAGCTACTGCCCCCCCCCCCCCTCCCTGTGAGCCCACTGTGCTCTGATTGGTCAGCTCGCCCACTCTGTTACAGCTGAACATCAGTGATTATGTGTTACAATGGCGTTTGTTAGCAACCAGAAAATGACACCAGTAATGACAAACAGATGAGAATGCTGCGTGGGGTCTGGGTGCCGTGTTGGAGGGACGTTGCGCGGCTCGCTGCTGGAGCGGACAGTGTGAGCTGGGTTCATTTCCTGGTTGCTGCTTGGGGTCTGCGAGACATCGCGAATGGACACGGGATGCTGCAGCACCCCCATCTACGAGGCTCCACTAGCACCCGCACCCCCAAACGCGGCACACCTACAGTGTAAGCCCGCCACAGTTCTGCCGCTGCGAGGCTCCACTACCCCCCCCCCCCCAGCGCGTCACAGTTTCGCTGCTGAGAGTGTGTGTGTGTGTGTGAGAGGAGCTCCACAGATTGGTCCATTTGGGTATGGTCACGTCACTGTACCCAGGAAGAAAAAGAGAAATGTCCAACGAGGCGTTCTGGGGCAGCATAGACAGGTCTTTTCTGTGTTTTACTCACTACAGGGTGTACTTTGAGGGTTTGTGACTCTGCAGACCGTTTACATGCAGAAAAACCTTCATAACACACAAGGGGACGGGTAAGAACCCGAAAAGCATGACATGGGACCTTTAATGAAAACTGTCATGACTCAGGAATTTAAATGACTTTATTGTCATACCTGCGTTATGAATGAAGGTTTGTTGTCTCCCCTATTGCGGTGCAGCCGAAGAGCCTGGAGCACTATCTGAGTCAGGAGGAGCCTCGGCTGCTGACCCACCTGAAGACCAGCGGGACCCTCGCCCAGCTGCCCTACGGCCTCTGGTTCAGACGCTGCTTCGCCGGCTGCCTGCCCGAGTCCAGCCTGCAGAGGTGCGTTCCCTGTCCACAGCGCACGCCTGACTTCTGCACACTTTCCCCTGGCCAACACACAAGCTTTTCTATCCTCAGCAGTCTGATATGTGCAAAACCTGTATTATATTATTCAGGCTTTTCTGAAAGATCTTTGAACTACATTTCAAGTGGTGAACGTATTCCGATCATTTAAGTGAAAGATGCAATGCTACGGTTAAAAAATATTCTGGTAAAGGTAAACGACTAAATATACTTAAAAAGGTGCAAATGTGTATGTTATGCATTGATTATAATTATAAATCCAATATTTATATATTTAAGTTTATCACTTCGATGTAACAGCTGGTAAAGGTGGACCTGTTTTCTACAAATGTATATTCTGTCTGACCTATAATAATCATATACACTTAATATATTTTATATTCTGCATTAATAATCAGAACATTTAATGAACCTTAAGCCTGTGAAAACCATATTTTCAAAATGAGACTTGTATGAGTACTTGTATATTTGAAGTAAAATTAGCAGCTTCATAATTAAAACTCCTGCATTCAAATTCCTAATCAAGTCAAACAAGCCTCAACATATACTTAGGTAAGGTACCTAATGTAAGTACTGTATGTATTATACAGAATTTATAATACATTAAAATAGTTGCCGCATTGTTTGGTACTTTATAGTTGCATTGTTATAAATTAAGCTATAATAACCCTTAAAAATAAATAGCGCAGTGAGAAATACAATATATCACTTTGAATACAAAGAAAAAGTACTTCCACAGATGACATTTTTGTATGTATTTATTGTCAAAGCATTTAATGAATTCATTGCTATCGGGATGTTAAGAGCGTTCCATGGAATATAACAAAGTGTTTCTGAAGTGAATGACCTACCCCGCCTTTAAGAGTAAACATGCTTAGTAACGTCCTCTACACATTTCTGCCTAATGTGGTGCCTGTTCTAGAAAGATGTCAGATTAAATGACAGATTTTGCCCAACTCACATTTTTCTCTCTATTTATTAAGCCCGTTTGCTAATTCCACACGAGTAGACTTTTGTTACATCTTGACCTTACATCTACTTGTTGAATGACCCTCTGATGATTGTCAGGGTGTGGGACAAGGTGATCAGCGGCTCGTGTAAGATCCTGGTGTTCGTGGCCCTGGAGATTCTGCTCAGCTATAAGATCATGCTGATGGGAATCAGCCGGCCTGAAGGCGCGGTGAGGTTCCTGTGCAATGTGAGTGAACCACAGCCAACACCAAACAGAAAGCACGGTCCTCTTTTAGGGGAAAAACCTCACCATGTGTTTTCTCTTCCAGATACCGCAGGAGAACACGGACGCCATCGTAACTAAAGCCATCGACTTGTGGCACAAATACTGCTTACAATCATAATAATATATATATTCTTTCTTTTTGTTTTCTCACTCATAACAAAGTATAACAATAAATGAATAATTCTCAAATAGTCTGTCATGTTCAACAGGGGCAAGAAGAAGCTTAAAAAAACTCTTCTGGTCCTACCCCCTCTAGCATACATTTAGCTTATACATAAGTTAATTTGTTTTTTTACAAAACAATCGGAAAGAAATTACTTTTACAAGAAATAACAAATGGGATTGTACAGGTCCTGTTCATAACCATTCATGATTTGGCTCCCAAATAATACTTTCAGTTTAGATAGACTTGTACAATATTTCAGTGCATCATTAGTTATTCCACAGACTAACACCTTTTGATGAGATGCTATGCAGTTTGCCATTTGTTCGTACGGGTGGTTTTTTGAAAATGCATTTTCCTCTCAACATGCTTTCTCTCCGTGTGAAAAGATAAGGTGCTGTCCCAGGACAGAGCACAAACTCTTAACTCCACTGAGACTACGGATTTGTCTCCGCATGACTGGACAGAAAACTCATCATGGGCTGCTTTTAATAAGCCCCAGGACTTGGGAGCCAATCCAATACATCCCAGCTCTCCCCAAAGAATGATCGACTGGACACTGAAAACAGCTGCTATACAGAGGATGCACAAAATCTGTTTAGAAAAAAGGCAAGGATTCATAAACTTATTTTCTTTAATAAGTTTCTTTCTTTAAGAAACAGCTTACATCATAGAAGACAATAAATTAATACCCACATGCAGTTGTTCTGCTTTACAAAAAAACATTTGAAAAGTCTTGTTTACTTTCTTTGCTATTTACAAGTCTTAGAATTCTGAGAACAGTTTTAAACGTACAAGAGACCGTAATATGACCGATGCTCGTACTGACACACTCACTCACAGATCAAGTCCTCCCGATAATAATTATCTAATGTGGACCTAAACCATAAAAAGTAAGCTGGCAGGTTTTCATTTTCTGTGCCACCAAAGATTTGACTGACAATACAAAAAGAAAGTCTGTTTTTTTGAAGTTCTGCAACTTTTTACTGTGTCGACGGTCTGTATCAACGAAACAAGTTAATTTGGCAACGTTCAAATCCCTGTAAACAATACGGTAGGCACAGTGAGTTACTGAACTCTCAACAGCAGTCATTCTGGGATGCATTCAAGATCGCAACTTCAACAGAAAGTCAAGTTGCTTTGGCTTGAAGTGGGGATCAAAAGTGTGAACACGTTTTGAGCTCTTGAATGCAGACCATTAACACAAAAAACGATCAGGCTGTGAAGTTATTGCTCAGTTAATGTGTTTTAAGGTATTACATTTTTTTCTCTTACTGTCTTGAAAAGAGAATTATGTTATATTTTATGTCATTTTGGCTTAAGATGCTGCTGCCTACAGATATGAATTCCTCTGGCAAAATGTGAAACGATCACTAACATGTTAATTGTTAGACGCTTTTATCCAAAGCGACTTACATACTCTAACAGTGGGCAATCCCCACAGGAGCAATTTGGAGTGAAGTGTCTTGCAGAGACACAACGACATGCTGACTGCAGTGGGACTCGAACTTGTTACCCCCTGATTCGAAGTCCAGCACTCTAACCACTGAGCCACAGCCGCCCCATTGAGATGTCTTCTGTGGAATAATACCGTGCCAACACAAACCCAAAGGATATAAAGTCCATTTAAGGAGTGACATTATGGTGAAAGGCAAGAAAACAATCCATGTGTAAAAAATAAAAATAAAGTCCTTTCTTCAACTCCTTGGCACAGATTCTGTGTTTCATTTCAAGCGCCCTGTTCAGAAACAAAAGTGCTGCAAAGTAAACAAGTTGCGGCTTCATCTTAAAATAAATGAAACCCTTTTGAATATCAAGAAGTGTGTAAAATCTCCACGGATGAGAGACTCCAGGTGAGAGTTTGATCCATTTGTACTTGAAGTGTTTCCTGTGACGGCCGCAGCACACGCTGCATTCAGGTACAGTCCGTCAGTGTGAGGGCAGCAGGTGGCAGTCTGGACACTTGAGGCATGGTGTGTGAGTATAAAAGCACAAGACTGACCCATCTTACGGCCGATGAAACCTGCAGAGAAAATGAGGAACTTCATAGAAATGCTGTGGTTTTTCACCATACCACTAATCATGATAGACTTGTTAAGTTAATATGCATTTCAAAACCAACAGTTTAGTTTTTTGAAAAGTAAAACAAAAATGTCATTGTATATGTCTGTAAATGTTTAGAAAAGTCATAGTGGAGTATATTGAACATTTTAAAATATGCCAAAAATGTCATGAATTTGAGAAGCATTTAAAAAGGTCAGTGTGTCGAGCAACTTGAAAAAAAAAAAATCATGGTATTGTATGTCGAAAAATATACAAAAGTAATAGTATAGTATGTCAAAAATGTGTGAATAGTAGTAATAGTGATTTTTAAGCATGTTCAAAAATATGCATAAACACTAAACTGTTACCTGGTTAGATGACGGCTGGACTCGTGCACCTCCATCTCTGTGCTCTTAAACTCATTCAGCTCCTTCCTGATGGCAGCCTGAACAACACACAGGGAAACACTTATTTACCCACAGTATAAACTATGCACAGACAGCTTGAATCCAGAGTAAAGGATCAGCTGGTTTTGATTGACATGCAGGGTTGGGAGGGTTACTTTGTAAATGTAATCAGTTACTGATTACTGAATACATGGCTCTGAAAGTAATCCGAATACAATTACAGTTACGTGTCTTAAAAAAGTAACGTAATCAGATTACTTTTGGATTACTTTCTTTTTCCATCACAGATGAGTATGTTTTGGTGTACAGGAGACACAAAAAGGAAACTGAACGTGTTTTTACTGTTTTAATGGCTTATCAAGAGCACAACTGAAACATGACATCTGAAACGATGCAACAACATAATAAACTCTTTGGGGATGCAGCTTGGGATGTGAGGAGTGAGGGACACGGCTTAGAACGGGCGTGTCGCCTTCTGTCCTGCCAGTGTTGGCAGGACATGAATTAAAATGTCAAACTCGGACTTCATTTTAAGGACATTTCGGTCAGGGGTGTAGAGCTATATTTGTTTAAGCACCGGATTGGCAAAACAGGAGAGTGTGTGCACCAGTCTGCCTTGATCTATGAATTCATGTTCGTGACTCTCACAGTATCTGCTGCCCACAGCTGTTTTATAGAAGGAACACCTCCTTCACTTCATGAAATCTCTGCAGCACCAGGAGGCAGCGGGAGGGTTATCTCAGCCTCTGAGAAGACGAGCGCGCAGTGCCTAACGGCCCGTCTACACTACAGGCATAAAAAAAAATCTTGAAGCTGGGCGTGTCTGAAGCTTGGCGATTTTTTGCGAGCAACGCGACCAACAACCAATCACATGAATCTCCCGCCCCCGACATACAAAGCAATAGCAATGTTAAAACGAAGTAAACTGGATATAAACTCCCCAAACAGGCGAAAACCTACCAGTTTCACCCACTGTCTCTGCCACCTCCCTCCATGCCTGGTTCCTCCGGTTTGTATCCCGGTAAATAGTTCTGGTCGGAAAGAACCGGGTGATTTGCTACCGTAATTTCTCGTTTGGAATATGAGGAAATGAACTGCGGTCTGGCTCTCCCAGCTTGCACGCGGTTTGATTGGCTAGCGCTTGTACTGGCGGGATTTGCATAAACGGGATTTGATTGGCTGATGCCAGCTTCGAAAGCATCGGGAGCATCAAAAGTTGAACATTGCTCAACTTTTGATGTGACTCACGATGCTTGCAAAGCCATGCTCCGCTCCCCACAATGCAGTTCGGCGAAGATTCAAAATCTTCTACGTCACCCCATTCAAGTGAATGGGCGAAGCGTTGAAAGCATTTTTCGATGCCTGTAGTGTAGACGGGCCGTAACACGCACCGCCTTTCACGCACCGCCTTTCACACGACACCGCCTTCACTGTGGTTACCTTCAGAATCATTAGTAAGGCTAAAGAGCGACCGCAGGCTGATGTGTTTTAACCATGTATACATCACTTCAGGGGACATTACATTGACTTACATGCATTTTCTGGAGACTTATCCTAACCTTAACCATAACATGCCTAACCCTAACCCTAAACAAGTCTTCACCCTAAAATTAATGATTCCCCTTATGGGGACCTCCAATTTGTCCCCATAAGGGAAGCCAGTCCCCACACGTGACTATATAAACAGATTTAGGTCCCCACAAGTATAGTAATGCTAGAACACCCGCACACACACACACACACACACACACAGCACCCATCACACACACACACCACACACACTACCACACACACACGACACACACACACACACACCAACACACACACACACACACACAGCACACCACACACACACACTACACACACACACACAACACACACACACACACACACACACACAACAACACACCACACACACACACACACACCACACACACACACACACCACACAACACACCACACACACCCACACACACACACACACACACACACACACACACACACACACCCACACACACACACACACAATTTAAACGCAGACTTTTGTTCCTCCATGTTTCGTTGTTATTGTTTCACTTTTTTTTTTTTTTTTTTCAAACGCTTTTTTGGTCCATCTGCGGCGGTAATAGGTTTTGTGGGCTGTGAGATTCGGCTGTACCTTTAGTAATGAATATGAAATGTTGTGAGGAAATCTTTCCACCAATAATTCCAATAAGTAATCCAAAATGTATTCACTTCAGGTTTACGAAAGTAACGGTAATCAGATTACTCGTTTTTCAAATGTAACGCGAGCTGAATACAGTTTACTTGATTTTTGTATTTCTGATTACGTAACGCCGTTACATGTATTCCGTTACGACCCAACCCTGTTGACATGTTTGTTAGTTTCACCTTATCAGCAGCAGTGAGCCGGGTCCACGGCTTGTCGGCTCGGCGGTCGTAGTCCTGAGCCTCGGCGACCTCCACGTAGTCACTGAAGCGGATCAAGATCTTCGCCTCCCTCAGCTCCTCCACTGTGGGCCTCTGGCTGAGCTGCAGGGTTGTCAACATGTTGAAGAATATCTGTGTGCTATAATGTGCCAGGTTTGTGACTGAAACCTAACTGGTTCATTTAACTAGGCCGGGTTAAAATAAAGAAAGGGAAAAGCTTTGTTTTTGTATGTTCAAAAATAATGATAGTTTCTAATAAATAAAATGTAAGTATGAAGTGAATCTAATTTCTTTCTTTGTATAAGTAAAGTTAAATATTAAATGAAATAGTACAAAGCACTCAGATGTCGCACACTTCTTTCATCTTCTTTCTTTTATGACAATATCTGTTAAGTAGTTTTAAAGATATCTTCTTGGACAAAAACACTATGGCCTTGGAAGAAAATAAACCAAATAATAAAAAAAAACTATTTATTGAAATCATTTTTGACACACAAAGTGCTGAAAAACATTTGCATAACATAACATCTATGGATAAGTGGCTTTATCCATCAATACATATCATTTGTGAAATGGTCACACACTCACACACAATAACAGGGTGATGCAACAGATATTATCCTTTCAAAATGGGCATGTGATGGGTGGTAGTTTGGTCACCACGGCAACCATGTTTATATTTCTAGCTGGGGTCATAAACAAACACTCCCATCATGTACACTGAGGTGTCCATCTCCACCTCTGTCTTACCTTTTTGGACAGATGTCTCTTGATCTCCCTCTTCTCCTCCTGTTCATCGATATCGTTTTGAGCTGGAAGGAAGGAGAAAGAGATTATTACATTGGGATTATTATTATTATTATTATTACTAGTTTCTCTTACAGTGTGTACATGTACTTACGTTTGAGGATATTCCTCTGCTCAAGTTCCTCTGCCGACGGCCGTTGACTTAATCGTCTGAAAACATGAAAGGCGTGTCGATGTCAGGAGTGTTTGTGCTTCCAGATCATCATCACTGTGCCAGATGTATGCAGTATCTTACACAAGCAGAGGAGCCGACTGCATGGGATGTCATTTTTGATGAGGTAGTATTTTGTGGATTTACAAGCCGTCTATATCTATCTCTAAGGTGGAGCAGCGATTCAGACAGTGGGTAGGATGATTGATAGAGAGTGAGAAGTAAAGGTATGCTGTATGTGCAGATATGCTGCTTTAGTGTGCTCTAAAATGTAAAATAATAACATATAAACATTTATTTTACCCAAAGAAGCAAATTATGCTCTTGTAAAATGTAATGTGAATTTATTTGACTAGAACTTGACATGTTCCTGAATCCTTGAATAAGATGTGTATTAAAGTATTTAGATATTTTTAAAAGTAAATATAGTTTTTTGCAGAGCTTTAATAATGTACCATTATGAATGATTAGCGTTAATGTTATGTGGTTAGATATGGAAACATTCTTGTATCTAAACTGGCTTATTTCACAAAAAATGTACACTTTTTTTCAGCTTTCATACAACAAACTATACCCCACTTTAATTTTCTTGGCATATAATTGTTTTGTAGCTGCTCCTCAACTTTAATCTCTCCCCCCTCTCTCTCTCTCTCTCCCCCCTCCCTCCTCCCTGCATTATGACTCATCATCTGCTCCCTTTAGCAGCCAGGTCACATCTATCACAGTGACCATGGGTTAAAGCAGTCTGCGGGGGCCCGGCCTGCGTGTGGGGTGATGTTGGTCACATGATGAAGGGACTGTGATATCTCTTAGAACCACTGTTCTCAGTGGCTGGACAATCTCTGCATGTGTGTTTTAATCCA